GTTTGCATGACTAACTTATTCACCTACAGTTTGTTACCTAGTACTACATCTCTATCCCATTCCTTAAATATACTTAGATTTATTTTTTATTATATGTTTGTGCTGTGAAACTACATGGATCGCAGGACTACAGCGAAACATCGATAAGTCTCCCTTTTAAACGTAAACAACCCACCGTTTGTTTATTTTTCGATAACCCTACAAAGCCATCTAAAGGGACTTGTAAAGCAATGCTTCTTAACCCGTATAAATTCATTGTTCATTGTGCAACATCATTTTCGTATAGCGGATCGCGAATGTACGCTTCTTTCAAAATTTGTGTCCCTTGTCTCTGCAGTCATCCTAATGTACAGCGGACTTTGCAACAGCTTCGGTTATTAGGGTCAACTACTAGAAGTACGCTTTGTTCGGGTACGAGAATAATCCAAGGAAATGAAGCCTTAATAGCTTCTCACAGGAACCTGTTGGCGAAGTGTAACATTAGGGCTGCATCATCAGTAAAGGCTCAGTGCGGCGTATGCCACACGGCCCGCCCAACAGCACGTGCTCTATAAGCATATAGCCGCACGATCACTTTAATTCACCACTTCGAATCGCCTCCATAATCGATTAAATCAATAGTTTAGAATACAGTGAAGACGGAATCATCGTTCAGAGTATACTACCGGGGCTTCGCATGAATGTGCCACGTTGCTTATTCGTCTGTGCAGTTGCCCTTTGCGAGACAGCTTTTGGTGCTTTATGTGGCCGACTTCCGTATTATGACCATCCACTTAGTCCCCCAGGGGAAAATCCGCGAGAGAAATATTCACATTGGATTAGGGAAGAGCAACAGTCAACGCGTTTCGATGGCGGTCTTTTCATCTCCTTCAGGGTCTACAAGGGTGTACAGATAACACATTTTAAATCCTATAGTCCTGAAAACGGCACTGTATTTATGCTTTGCAACTATCAAGCGGACGTGTATTCGGAATGCTGTGACTTGCGTAAAAGTCGACACTCTACCACTTGTGATCGAGTGTTGTTCTATGATACCTCACACGAAACCAGAGAGTATAGGTTACTACGATATGAAATACGCGCTCAAATTTCCACCCAGAAGTTAGAGGGGGCCCAGGCGGTTATTCACGTGTACTTCCAGACTTCAGAGGGACAAAAATATCTCACGACTTCCTTTTGTCAACTGGCGAAGTTTGTACCATGCCCCGAAATTATTCGTCTGAAGTGGTTTGAGATGTATTCAGACAGCATACAATACCAGGACAGCCCCGAGACGCATGACTTGAACTACGAGAGTTTCCACGAAAGGACCTACTACAAGCACGAAGATGAAAGGTGGAACGCGGAAATGTTTGGGTGGTTGCCTCCTAATCATTTGGCTAAAGCGTTCGCTTTTCAGCGTTCTCCCAATCTTTCAACATACGACGTGATTCCATTGAAAGGATATATATATTCCTCAAATAGTCACCGCAATGGACCATTTTCTCAATTGGCTTATATTTGTCCAAATTATGAGCGAAACTTCTTCCGTTCGTCCTGGTATGTGACCGTGTATGTTGTTATTGATGCTGTGCTGTTCGTTGTAATCGATGAGGAGCTTCAGCGACAGTCTGGGGATAACGCATTAACTCCAATCATCGATGCGGCGAAGAGCATTCTCGCTGGTAAACGGGTGCATTTTCGGTACCCCTCTTGGAGGACTCCTGCGATGCGATTACTAAACCTCAAATCAGCGCGCAAAGCAGTGTATCGTGCCGGTGAAAGATTCCGATATCAGTCTGCCTATGCACCAGTATGCATCCATTTCGAAGGATGCGAAAAGAAGCTCCGTTTCGAGGACGCGTACACAACGCAAGATCGAATGAAGTGTGATACACTCGGCGGTCTATTGGAAATCCATAATCTCGAACCCCATGATACCGGGATATACAGCTGTAAATCAGACGGTGGCGCACTCCCGGAAATCCAAGGGTATTACATCATAGTGCTTCCACATGAGGACAGCATTACAGTGTTTGTCAACAAGCAACGCTGGCATCGTGACAAACTGGCATTACCTGAGTATCCACTTAAAGATGCATTAGGTAGAATGTACCTCCAAAGTGATGTCTTCGTAAACTGCAAGTACGTGCTACCCCTGGGGTATGACAATTATGATGGTATTGATTTCGAGTATATGGATGTCAAGACTGGGGCTCACCTCCCGTTTCAGCATGTAGACACTTGGTATTCTATCCAGGAGAGGAATAACATCACTTATCGCGTATTCCGAATCAAAAAGTACGAGACTCGTGGTTCCGTGAACCAATATCGGATACAGTGCTCATTTCGATATGAACCCATTTTCCGGTTGGTCCGCGAACACCCAGATACACCGAAGGAACGGAAGACGGTGAGTAACTACGTGCTCGTATACACCAGCTTCCATATGGAGCCAAAAATTGTTTCCTCTTCCATTCGTACGACTCATGCGAACGTGACGGATGCGCTGAACAAGACGGAAGCTGTGTATCCGAAGGTTACTCCACACCGTTTGTTGAGACGCACAATGGTTGAGGATGTACTTTCAGGTAGCTTCGTTGTCCTACACTATGTGGGTGCCCTTCGAGTCTCTGTTTGGACCGTCGAGGAGACGGAGCATGGAAACTTTTCCTACGTACCTTGTTTAGTGAAGATTACGCCTGGATCTCCGTACAAGTTGCATTTGATCGAGTTACCAGAAGCGAATGGCTCTGAGACCATGGCAGCCAGCCAGGTCGACTTCAGGTGTGGTATTGGATTAGCGACCGTTGTACTTGTGCTAAGTGCATTTCATCATGATGCAATTGGTTCAGCTGATGAGCAGTTGGAGCAATCGTGCATCACAGCTTTAATTGCAGTACTGAAAGACAGCATTGGGTACACAGGTTTGCCAGGTAACACGTGTATCGAAATTGATCCACCTGGTCTTAAGAGCACCCACCGTCTGGTTGAATTGCATACAGTGTGGCGTGCCACTGTGGTTGTAGGTGAGCCGGTAACAATGCGCTGGTTCCCCGCAACAGACTCATTTGACATTGTGCGTTGTTTGTATACTCCTCCTGACAGCACACAAACACAACCAGTGCCAGATGGTTTTCAGCAATCGAATGACGCAGGCAAGGACTATTATGAACTACGCAAGTCGAACTCCACGCTCACAGACTCCGGGTTGTACGCATGCTACCAGCACACATGTCCAAACTGTTTGACGCGGATTGGACCCCTTCGAAGTTTGCTAGTACTGCCAAGGGGCGAAAGTATGCACATTGCCTTTGAGCAAGAAAACTTGGCACAGAGGCCCAAAGGGGAGACGACGTTAGTTTTGTTACAGGATGCGGTCGTCAACTGTTCACTGCCAACAAGCAAGTCCATGGTCGCTGACAACGAGTGGAACTTCGAATGTGTAGCCTACAGGAGGCACCAATCGCCCTATCAACCAACGTGTGGGTCTGTGTGGAGAGGAGCGGTCCACCGGTACACACGCCGCTACACTATCGATGGCTTGGGCTTGTACTCGCATTGGACAAGCCTGAAGGTAACTTGCTCGGTTAAACTGAGTAACTTGGTGAGAGATAAACACGATGACGTGGTCGATCCCAATAAACTTATTATCACAAAATCTGCTGTCGCGTACGTGGAGAATTATGCATATGGTCGATATTTTTATGATCTAACGCTTGGTGATCAACCGATAGTGTCTGAAATTGCCAAACTCAGCTATGGGGATGCACAGCGTATTCCATTTCAGCCGGGTTCACCGGCACCGATAACCTACGAGAACTACTATCGTTTTCGTGTGACTGCATTCTTGGGCTATCCTGCGGGTACAATGGAACTGTGGAGAGTGTGGTGGGACGGAGAGAACGTGGAACTAGAAAGCTGCCCGTACTTTTGGATATGGCACATGCGCTATGAACAACGTCATAAAATTCACAACAGATTTTTACGTATGATCGATGGAAATGGTGTGAAGCAGTACCTGTTCGAATGCGGATTTGTGCAAGGGCACATGGGGCTGGTAACTGCAGTTTTAAACACAGATAACAGGGATAACGAAAGGCAAACGTTCATGGCCCACGCGGTGCATTGGTTTAAACGATACCTCGTCTCCATCGGTGAGATATCGGTTGCCCCCCTGATCAAATCGACAATGGTCCGCGATCCACACTCCTATTTTGCCATTAAGCTAAATTTCTACCCCAAAGTTGTGACAACCGTCGGCTCAGATTTTCACATAATGGGCAAAGTCACAAGCTACCATCCATATTCCACTTGGTGTCGAAGATATTATAAAGGCAATCCAGCTGAGTCAAGAAAAAACCTTTATTATCCTCGAGAAGTTCGATACCATAACAGAGGTCCGGTTTTCTGGCTTCAGTACGGTAGCGCTACTTTGGCGGATTCGGCAGTATACCGCTGTACGGCATACACACAATCATCGGAAGAGCTCAGATCATCTGGATTCCCGGAGAGAACAGTTATTGTCCTTCCCACGGATGCCATGCTGTTGATGTACCTAAGTGAGTGGAAATTCCAAGCTGGTCCCACAAGTCCGGAGGGTGAATTCACGCAGTACCTTGATGGAAAAGAACCGTTTCTCTTCTATTTGCAGTCTGTGGAGGTCCGTTGCATTTACCCGCTGCCACCGTTCTTAAGAGCACATCCAAACACATCGCTGAAGCACGAAGTGTACAACAAAAGCAGCAGACGATGGACGGAATTAACACACGTCCAAGGAATGAGATTTTTGATAGCAGGAGGAGGACAACAATTATCCACTTTCACGGTAACCATGGTTCCTCCTGACCTGGAGATAACTAGAGCCAGAGTGACTTGCGTGTTTAATCTGGACAAAATTGGTACGTTGCATGACGTTAACCGAGGCAAAATCAACTCGATTCAGCAGATGAAGTCGATTGATATCCAACTTCAAGCGCTGATCCAACCGGTTATTTTTGACCAGCATTTAAAATCCAACAATTCGAGACTACTGGAAAACTTTAGACACACTTATGGTTCACGGGGAATAAGTGCTGTTGAGTTCTACCAAACTGGCTCCAAAGACCGGCTTTTGGAAGGGGTTATGGAACTGGATATCACCGCTTTCTTGGGTATACCGGTGGGTCGCTTGGTTGCATGGACATTTTTCAATTATACCGGCATCTGGAAACAGGACTGCTTTAAACAAACAGAAAGAGCATACGAATCACTTAACATACCCAGGGATTTGAAGCAACATCCCATGTATCTCAAATTTGGCAATCGGGGTTTCGTTCGGACGACGTTTCTGTGCACCTTTCGACCGGAGCACACCGCTCTGATAATTTTAGCTTTCACGGCTCACATGTATAGAGAGGAGAGTATCCGGGCCACACTGACTCAAAGTGCGATTCATCTGGTGAAACGTTACTTGGAGTACCCGAAAAGCACTCGGGTGGAGGTGTTAGCCAACCCGCTTCCATTTGTGGCTGTTGCCTATCGTGTCCACAAGGTGTTCATAGGCTGGAACGCATCGCACAAACTGGGAGCTTCGTGGCATCTGCTTTTGCTCTACACGCTGTCGGACTCCGTGCACGATGTTCGATGCTACTATTCTGAGAGACGCGAAAGTGATAAAATACGAATGTTCTACCGTGTATTCACACGCAAAATCGATTACTACGTTTCACCGTTTGCAGTGAATCGTTCCACTTCCGGTATCTATTTTTGCAACCATACTCATCTCGGTGTGGATCGAGTTCTTGCTGCGCCGCGTCGCATTGTCGTGTTGCCAAATGCACATGACCTGGCTATTTACGTGACTTCCACGTCCCATGTGTACCACGGATCGTCAATGCGCGACGCAGGCACATTGCCTCACTTCAAAATAGGCGAGGCGCCATACATTTGGTGCGTACTACCCAGCATTGTCGACAACCAGGATGCGATGCTTGTGGAGGCTCAGTTGATGATGGACAGCGCTGAAAAGAGAAAATTTGCCATTCAGCTCATCTCAACCATTCAGAACACCAGAGGTGAGTTGGAATACCTCCATGTTGCTGAGGGGCCACAACCAGAGCAGGTGTATACCACACTCCGAGCCATTTGTACGGCACAGTTTACGAGTAGCATATTTGAGGCGGATGACCTGACACCAACCAGCGATCTGATTGTTCGTTCTGTGCAACAGATTACATTTGAGGTCCGACTGTCACCTGTACTCTTCCCAATGGAAACACATAGCACTGATCACAGACTTCAAAAAGGACTGCAACGAGCACCTGCCAAGATCGATTGTGCCAAGACGTTTGCAGAGAATGCAGTGGTGGGGTTCCGGGAACAGGTAGCTTACATTCACGTATTACTAGCCCTGGGTATGCCTGCGGGCCAGGTCTCTGCAAATACGTACATTGTTGGTGATAACAGAGTGATTGATGAAGACTGTAGGATTACCAATACCAGTGTCGTAGAAGTCGTCGATGTGCCACGTATGATAAAGGCCAAATACACGGAGGGTTTTCTGTCTATGGCTAACCTGGCCAACGTGTCCTTTATGTGTGTGCTTCGTTTGGAGCATGATGCACTGATTATAACAGCAATCAGTTTGGCCTCACCTTGGGACCACACAGAACGTGTCATTCATGACACAGTTGGGAAATACCTACGAAAGTGGACACACCAGCGAAACACATGTGAAGATAAACTTCGCATCCACTATCCCAACAACACCAATGGTACTTACCAACTTGTGGCCATCAAGCCCACATGGAACGATAAAGTCAGCACAGGAAGTCCAGTAAGCATGTTAGCCCGCATTTATCCATCTAGCCCACAATCTCTGAGGTGCTTGCACCATTTCCTTCCATTTGGTGTAGGCCGGAATCCCATGCAACATGGGTTCAGAGTGGTGCGTTCGGAAGGCGAACTTGGTGCGTTTTTGGTGAAAGATAAAGTGGAATTCGGGGACACAGGTACCTATGAATGTGAGTACCCACAAGGTCCCAGACGAATCGGGTTCGCCAAACGCTATTTGTACGTACGTCCTGATTCGTCAGTGCTGCAGCTGTTCATCACACATCAGCGTTTCACTTCGGTACGTGAGTTGCGAGGGGCATACAACTATTGCACAGCGAACCATAGACCGATGTTATTCAGCAAACAGAGTCTACATGTTCATTGTGTTCGCCCGTACACAAATGGAACACAAATGGATTGGAACGAGACTGTGCATATAGTGCTTAGACCAGCAAACGGATTTAACGGAACTGGTGATCCAGAAAGCTTCATCACTGGTCAATACCGTACAGAAAGCGATCATACTTACAGCATTACCTCATACCAGCTGACTGCTCCAGCGGCACACGACTATATTGGAGCCTTACATTTCACTTGCGAGCTAACATTCCGCCGACGAGATCAGCATCTGGAACCATTCACTACACGTACCACCAGAATAATCGAGGTGGTACCACTAAGAGCACCGATTATTTATCATCTCATGACCGAGGCATCGGATATTGTCCTGCAAAGACAAATCAGAAATGTACCAGTGTCCGTACTCAGTACATGGGAATTTAGTGATTCGAACACCAATGCATCGTTCGTAAGAGAGAACAACACTTCTCTTATGGTTCCCGCATACTTGGGTCATCCAAGGGGACATTTGACGGTGTGGATGCTGTATGAATACGAGAAGCGCTGGCACGCGGAACGGTGCCGAAAATTGCGCGTGGTGAATTGGACGAACGAACAGGCAGCGACTCTGTCAGCAGACATGGGTGGACTATTGCCTTCTCAAGATCCTAATATAGTTACTGTGACGTTTCACTGCGGAATTCGATTGGAGCATAGTGTGATCGTGATCGGGGTTTATCAGTGCTACGCACCATACTTGGAGGCAATGCAGGTGGATCGAGCGTTCCTTGCGTCTGTGATTAGCAACATCAAGAGTTGGATTGTACAGCCCTCTAATGCTACTATCCGGGTACCCATGTTGCCTGAAGGTTCTTCGGGCATAGCCCACCCAACCAAGATAACGGTGTATTGGAAGGGCTACTTCCACATTGGCGATCGGATGTCTCTGCCAGGATATCTGGGTGACAGTGATGCGGATGTGGACGAACGGCGCTACAGGGTGTATTGCGTGTACCAGATGACAACGAAGTCACCAATGGAAAGCCTCCATGGATCTACTCACTTATTGGCTTTGCCACAAACGTACACGTTTCAGCTGATTAAAAGAGAGCTCCATGCTCACGATTTTGGTTACTACTCTTGTAAAGTGGATCACAAGGATAGAACACAAACAAAAGGCACGGTTGGGTTCGTCCAACGACTGTTGGCTGTGTTACCTGGACCGCAATCCATCCGCATGATACTCAACCCGAAGTTGCTTGATGTAAGAAAGGACTTGACAGAGAAACATAGCAGATGTGCACACAGCTCCAACCCATGCATGTCACCGGACGCAACCACGTACGTGTACTTTGGAGGATTCATTAGTCCGGTGATGCGCGACATCGACACCATACTGAGTGCTAATCTGTTGGGGAGAAACCAGTCAGAGCGTATACCGCTCGTGTACACTGAGGAGTCACATGACACCTATCATGGAGAAATACTCATGCTGAAGGGTCGACTTAAAGTTCCTGATGTAGTGCCGTATCTAAGTGAAATCAGAATCACAGGACGATTAAATTTTAACACTCTACCACCAGTGTTGAGGAGCTATTCATCACCACGAACTCCCTGGACAGTGACTGCGAACAGAACTATCTCGATTCATGTGGAATACATGCCGGAGATATTCACTGCATTAACTACCGCAAGTCTAGTAGGCATTCAGATCGCATTGCGGACGCAGCGGGTGAATTCAGTGTTCAGTTCACAAACATTCCAAACAAGTGGTCCAACTGGTCGTCTGTTGGAGGGTCTAATGGAGTTGAACCTCACGACGTATATCGGCACTCCACCCGGTCTGTCTGCTGTGTTTATGTTGAATGTGCGAGATGGTCGGATTCGAGCAGAGCATTGTCAACACAAGACGACTGAACTGACCGAGGCTACGATCCCTGAGAGCGTGAAACGTACCAGCATATATCGTTATTCCATGGGAGAGCGCTTCGAGCAAATTCACTCACATTGTCCACTGAGACCTACACACATGGCCCTTGTGGTAGCTGTGGTGAACAGCATGGATCCCATAGTGTCGCCTGCCTTGACAAGGAAGCGATTCGAGCACACACTGGTTGGGCGAGTGGAGCAATGGCTAGGTAATCCGAGTGACTTGAGCCCGATGCCGATTCGTCTGCCACCTAGACACAATGTGGTGTATCAATTGGTGCATCTGAAGATTGGGTGGCGAGGTGTCATACCGGAGGGCACACCTGTCGTTCTATTCGGGACGACAATGACAAGGTCTGTAAGATGTTATTATCAGTCGGATGCGAATGGCACTAAGATACAGGTTGGTACAGTTGGTAGTGAATTCAGCATTGTCCAAGGGGAAGCTGGATTGACGTTCGAACTGATCTGTCCCCGAGCTCAGTTAACTGACACAGGTATATATCAGTGTATAACCGACTCATGTTTGTGGTGCAATTCGCGTCATGAGTTAGTGGTACTACCACTCAGACTGGAAGTGCGCACTGTATTGAGCGAAAAGCAGTCCATTGAGGATTTAGGACCTGTGGAAACGTACGGCTTCGTGGATGAACAAGGCCAACCATACACTTACCCCGGACAGTCCTTCTATGTTCACTGCATGTCCCGAACGGACATCCCTGTCAGTATCCGACCTCATATGCATTTTCATTTCTCTAAGCCCCCATTGACCGCGGAATTCTTAGGGAACTATGTCTTCTCTTCTGGCGCACCGCAATCACACATGGATGCAACGTACTCAACACACGGTCTAGCACACCGAATATCAGTTCCTTTGGATTTCACAGTTGCGGAAACCGTCCACATTACATGTGTGTTTGCTTATCCGATAAACATGTCGCACTATGACATAAACACAGGGATACTACGCAAGCACTACAATTGCACCAGGTATGTGCAACTACGTGCTCGCCAAACACCGCGGATTTTGAATAACATGATCAGTACAGATTATGCCCAGTTAACCGAGCTGCTGAGAAACCCTGTCGCTTCTAATATTGATGCTGTCACTTTGAACTTACACACCAATCATGGACCCGTGAAAGAAAGCATCATCGAAGTGAAGTACACAGCCATACTCGGTCAGCCACGTGGATGGACCGGTGTCTACACAGTACTTCAGGACACCGTAGATGTAGCAGCTGAACAATGCAGTGAAGTTGCCTGGGCTGAGGCAGATAATGGGAGCTCAATGGGAGAAGAGAATATCAGAGTCAAAACAAACATTGACATGGATTTGGTGGAACCATCAAAGCTTTTCACCTTCCGATTTCGATGCTTCTTGCAACTGCGAACCGTGGGACTATTCGTAGTTGCAATGCACTCAATGACCACACCGTATGACGTGCGTGCGCTCACAAAGGAATTTGTCAACTCCGTCGGGAGGACCGTTAGCGAGGCCATGGGGGATGCACGCAGAAATCCACGACAAGCGCCTTCATTTCCACCATATACCGATGGGACATATCGTTTAGCTCGCATTAACGTCGGATGGGATGCTTCGGTTGAGGTCGGGTCCGTCATACGAATGTTCGGCCGACTTACCAAAGATGGAGGAGGTGATCCGATCTGCATGTACTCAGCTGACGCAGACAACTGGACTCCCGTGAATGTCAGTGGAGCATTCGGTCTGCGAATTGTCAAATCCATGGGATACTTTATTTTGCACAAACCAAAGGCGGAACTAGGCGATTCGGGCTGGTATCGCTGTCGGCTTGCCGATTGTCTTTATTGTTCATCCAACATGGGGATGACCGAGAGACAGCTAGTTGTCATGCCAGATCAATCTGTGTTACAAATACGCCTTCATATGACTGACGAGTTGAATCGTCTCGCACAGACATGTGGGCTGGGTGACATCTTCGTCTTACAGCCTCAGATTGAGTACGTGCTGAATTGCATACACTCAGTCCCGATGGGATTCCCATATCCCTTAGTCGCCTCTGCCGGTGTGCACTTCAAAAATGAAAGCAGATGGATGGATCTGCAAGATAAAGACGCACCACAAACGCAAATGACTGCTGAACGTGCGACTCGATTCAACCGATCAATACCATTTACACTACCACACCCGTCATCGGGCGATTTGTATGAAGTTGATTTGGTGTGCGCACTACAGCTTGATGAGTTCAGTGTGCAGTACGACCTGATCAAGATGCGACCGGGTAGAAAACTGAGTAAGAAGGTAACTGTGATGGTCACTCATGTGCGACCGCCCGAATTCGTTACCAACTCAATAGGGGCGGATGAACCATCCATAGCTGAGGTTTTGCAAAGTGTCGCCGCTGGTAGACTGGACAGGAAGTCGTTTTCGACGAACATAGGTAAGTCGATTGTTTTAGAGGGTCCTATAGGTATATCATTTCGCATATATTCAGGGTCGCCTCCCGGTTGGACGTTTGGCTGGTCCATTATCAAGTGGAAGCACACATTGTGGACAGATAATTGTTTGTTTCTGCAAGATAAACCGCATGCCAATCGCACGCAGAATGTAAGCGTGACATGCATGATGCAGCCGGAAAATGTGGCTCTGGTACTCGTTGCAGCGAACATGCCAGGGACGCAGTGGACCCGGAGTATGGTCGAGGCACATGTAAGGCAGGCTGTGTTGACTAACATATCCGAATGGATGGATTTGAACAATAAAACAACGGAGAGCGACCGCTGGTCGGCGTGCTATAACGCAGCTTACCGTTATGCCCCAGTGCAAGTTCAGTGGAATTCGACTGTCCGGGAGGGCGACCGCGTTGTCATGTACGGGCTTCTCAATGGTCGACAAGCAGATGAGGATTTAAAGTGTATGCGGAACTGGAAGCCAATTCAGTGGAACGACCACATCGCACTGAGGCCTAATCCAGTGGGGGATTATTTTACCCTCACCATCGTCCATGCCATCTACTCCGATACTGGTATATATGAATGCAGACCGGATCACACTGTGACATCCCAGAGTGAGTTTTGGGGACTTGGGCCACGTTGGTTGCGTGTAATACCTGATTCTTCCAAAACGACCAAGTGTGGGCTATCGGTTGACAAGGCAGGAAGCAAAAGGCTCAGAAATGGAGGTCAGGCCACAAACGAGTTGGACTATTTGATGGCAGGCGAAAAGGCGTATGTGACGTGTATGTTTGAAACAGGGTTCGCCGAGTTTTACCGACCAGTGTTCCGGTTGAAACACCACATGCTGGACACAAGCACGGGGCACTCAGAGCCTGCAGACATAACCTTCAACATTGTAGTATCGTCACACGCCAGTGGAACGTTTACAATGTACGTGTATGAAATTGAGGGCATTCGATCCAGGTTCTACAAGGGTCCTCTGACCGCCACTTGCGAAGCTGTAATCAAATTGCACCATGTGGACGAAGGGTCAACCCGCCAGCATGTTGTATCATGTCAACAAACATATGCTGTGTTAGAGCCAGCAAATGGCGAGGTGCTGATTGAGACGTTGTCAAAGGATTATGAGTCGCAACCAGTGCCCCTGGGTACGGAGTTCAAATGCACCGGTGGTTATGGATCACCACCCCTGAAACACAATTGGACTCCGAACAACATCGGTCAGTATGATGGTATCTCATCCGTCCGAGTCCCCGACACCTCAAATCCAGGTGATCACCATGATTGGATCGGGCCGAGACAAACTTTCACAGATCAACCGACCAATGGGCTGGTCATCAAGGAAGATAAATTGCTCATTCCATATGACCGCCGTTATCGGGGAATGAGCTATGTGTACACATGTTGGGGTAACAACTCCATTGAAGGCGAGGTGTGGAGTGTGAGAAAAACAATTCGCTTCACCGTGATGATATGTCCGACGCGAGTTGTTCCATTGGATCTGACTGTTCTACTAAGCTCACGACTACTCTCTCGATGCACTCTCGAGGGTAATCCTGACAGAGAGATCCAGTTCTATGGGCATTTTTATCTGCCCTTGGTTCAGCAGCTGATTTTGGGTCTGCCGTACGGACCCACGCAAGTGCAGTTCCACTTCATACGCGATGATGTTTTCGGCCACAACACCTCGAATAGTTTTCCGCTCGCAGCATTCAACCAGCAACTTAGTCGGGAGCAGTTGCTCCGCACCGTCAATCCGAAAGACTGGAAACCTAAAACCGATCCTGGTGGCTGCGGTGCGTCACCCATCATCTTCGACTCGGTAATCGCACACCTAGCTAGATTGCGTCATGTTCCACTGCCCGGTCGCGAGCACGTTCTCGTGTTGCCATTTGATGATTTCACTGACATTCGCATCAGCAATGAGACGAGTTCCTTGCTCTCCATGTTACTGAGAACCAATCTGAGCATTTTGTTGCTCAGCACAGTAGGACAAGGAGCGTATGGGAGTGCAACCATTTCCAAGTTGGAGAAGCTGTTTTCCCCATTGCGCACGATTAATATTTTGCCCAACTTCGATGGTGATACCGACTGCCTGAGATGTCGTCCTCGATTGGAGGCGGTGACGTTTCGCATTGCTCGAGATGAATTCTTTAATGCAGTATGTGAGGCGACCAGCATTGTTCTTCCGGATTCCTGCCCTGCACCAGCTCTACACTTCTCCATACCAAGTCGCCACTGGTACGATGGACAACATCTGGGGATCACATGTACTGCTAATTTAAGTCAGCCATTTCGTGGACAAACTGCCACCGGTTTGGCGATCTGTTTGGTCAACGAAACCGCTTTGCAACAGCTGGAGCAGGGCCCTCTCAATGTCCAGCATCTGATGAACGCGTGTAACTACGAGTTGGCAAATGGTGTTACAAGCGTGATTGATGAACCAAGTGAATTTTCAGTGAATGCTCAGTTGCGGCTGTGGAAATGGAATGGTGTGTCCCCACTGCTCATGTGTTACCAACGGCAGGGCGATATCGATCCGCAGGTGAGTGCACCTTTTTATGTGCAATGCTTCGCAACACTGTGTTCGGCTTTATCGGTGGTCAGTGGTTTTCTGTTGTAAATGAGTCAGTAGTTATCGCGGAAACTTAGCTTTATCGCTTGGGCCTCCTTTGGCAATGATTAGGCTATAACCTCATATGTCGTTGTCCGCTTGCAATCCCAATTAACGTCGGACAACCACGAAATGAATGCATCTGTTATGTCTCTCACGCATTTGTTTTGTGAAACCTATGTCCTGTGGAAGAGACCTTTTGGTCCGCGATGCTGATAGGTAAGTCATTTTGTGCTTGTGCAATGCATAGCGTTCATGGTTGCTGCGATTGTACGCAGTGAAGTGTCAATTGACGATATTCACTGTGTGGTTCGTACTTCTAGCTTGATTTTATTTTCCTTCTGACGGTCGTCGTGGTTCGACGAGCTTCAAATGGGTGTACGCGACCGGTAGCTAGGAATTCCGGTAGATTTGCTCAGTTTTCCTATACAGTAGCCATGTGGCATCTCAGACTTTCAGGAACTAATCAATGAGCTTAGCTTCGTTCGCTGAAATTAAGTTTATTCACGCAGTACAATGGGTTAATTGCCACAATTTGGTTGCGCGGATATTGTGTGAATGTTATGCTCATAGCCATATTGAACTCGGTTGACATTTTCCTTAGGCACATTACAGCCAGCATCTGTTAACAACAACTCGAATACAACGACAGCATGCAACAAAGGATGCAGCAACGCAACATTAATTCAAGTAGAAATGTGGCTTTTCCAAATATGCACTTTTGCCTAAGCATGTGATGTTGGGCATTAGCTTGCTATGTGTTCCTTTGCGATCCCGAGCCTGGTTGGACAGTTGACATTGCGCCGTAGAAAACTGCAATCCAAACGGGAGTGTTGAATTGTAACTGGGACGACGCGACAATGAAACACAAGCTTTACTGGCGCGAACACAAGCTATACCACCACTAACGCATGCGTATATTAATGAGTTACGCTTCCTCCCCACGACGCACCATCTCTCCTGGTTTCTGCTCGCGACACGTTCTTGCACTTTGGGAATCTGGCGGTGGAATATTCCCCGCCCATTTCCCTCCCGTATTTCCGCTTCCAGGCGCCCCATTCTGAAAGGCCCGGACTTGATTGATAGCTCGTGATTGGCTTGACCGTGGTTGCATCACTCTGCTTGGTATCAGTTCGGGAGGTTGCAACAACGGCGCTGATGTCTGCTTTATTGCGTTCTCGATGTATAACCATCCTGTGCTGTCTGGTTCAAACTCACTACCGGACGGCGCTCGTGACCCGTCCTCGTCTCGCCCTGTCAGGCCAGCTTGGCTCTGTCTGCTCTCCCTCCTTGCGCCTGTTCCCGTTGCAGTCCTCCACCGTTTCCGTGGTCTTTCTGTCCTCCGGGCAATCACTGCCTTCCGCATCCCTACAGACTGGCCAGACTCAGGTTTTGGCCTCGTCATTTTTTCGTAAAGAGCTATGATCAGCATTGATTTACATAGATGACCGCTTCCTGATCATATTCACTAGGTTAAAACGAGATCTCTGCGATGCCGTTGGTAATCTTAGAATAGCACATCGAGTAAACAAAGGCTCAGTTCGTGACTGAGACTGGATAGTTCACCTGTTGGCATTGTGGCTGTCCTTTCGGCTGCCTCGAGGATGAATGTCTAGTTCTATCTCTGGACGCTTGGTAGGTAATGCATGTTCAGCGTAGAGACGAATGTACGAGTTAATCAGCAAAAGTCCTAGTCCTCGCACAAAGGCACCGAGCGCTGGGTTTGAAAGCCTTATGTTCAACTTCACCACATTCGCTGCTCGCGAACCTAGGAGCGAATCACCAAGACTTTCTGGAATGATGACACCTAATTCGCTATCACTAGCCACGTGTTATAAAATGTGATACCCCAAAAGGTACGCACTTTTGAAGCGGCTGCGCATCGTCGTCAGATAGCACTTGCTGGGTTCAGTGATAAGCGGTTCATTTGCGCCCATTCGTATATACTGTCCAGATCGTTCTGGAGATAGACGCACTCGGATGTTGAGCGAAGTGCTCTCCATATCTCCGCATCATCTGTAAATATTGGCTTTGAGAATGTAATGGGTAATTGATATAAGCGAGAAAACAGTAGCGGGCCAAGGACGGATCCTTGCGACAAACCACTGGAGGCACACAAACCATCCAATTCTTGCCTTGATTATTCTCTCGTGTAAGTAACCTTCCAACCAGGTAAGCATGGAACTGGTGACACCGTACATGCCAAGTATTCGGAGGATAACTGAGTGATTGACTCTGTTGGCTGAAGTCTCTTGGAGAAGAAACCAATTGGTTGTTTCTGGTGGTCAACGGTTTGATGAAGAACAGCCCCTACTGCAGTGTTAGATGCATCGACGTGGAGAGACAAGGGGGCACCTTGGCGCACATGAGACAAGGTACATTGTTTCGCTAAGGTACATTTGGCTTTCTCAAATGCTTGTTGAGCTTATTCAGAAAAATGAAAGTCAGAGTGAGTTTCTCTCAACAGGTCAGTCAAAGGCCTCAACATAGTGGCTGCATGAGGAATGGAACGACGATAATAATTAACCATTCCAAGAAAACGCTTCAGTTGACGAAGAGAAGTGGGACACGGAAATGAGGTGATAGCGTCTAGCTTAGGTTGTGCGGGAGTAATGCCATGCTGATTAATCGTATGTCCGAGAAAATTTAAAGAGGAAACACCAAATTCGCATTTCTGAACGTGAAGTACTACACCATGATCTTGTAGGCGTTGAAACAGTATGCGAAGATGGGTAATGTGTTCATGATGGGTTTTGGAAGCAACGAGAATATCATCTAAATAACAGAATACAAAATCCAGATTGTGGGGAACTTGGTCAATAAAACGTTGAAAGGTCTGAGTAGCATTCCTTAAACCAAAGGGCATACGCAAAAACTCAAATAAACCAAAAGGAGTGGTAATAGCTGTCTTGTGCACATCATCGGGGTGAATAGGGATATGATGATACGCTCTGAGAATGTCAATGTGTGAGAAAACTGTACAACCGGTAATGTTTGCAGTAAAATCGTGGATATGAGGAAGGGGATATCTATCGGGGATAGTGGAGTTGTTTAAGGCTCGATAGTCACCACAGGGGCGCCAATCATTTGTCGTTTACTTAGGGACCATATGCAAGGGTGAAGCAAAAGTACTGTGAGAGGGTCTGATAATTCCCAGTTGGAGCATGTGTTGAAATTCCCTTTTGGCGATGAGCAAGCGTTCAGGTGACATACGTCGGGGGCGAGCAAAAACGGGGTTACCGCGAGTCGCTATCCTATGGGTTACAGAATGTTTGGGATTAGCCTGGTGAAAATTGGGTTTACGCAGGTTATGGAAGTCTCTAAGTATGGAAGAATAGGAGGTTGGATGAAGCGTGGACAATAACAATGGAACAGATTGGGAACAAATGATAGGTTCACCGCACACAGATAACTTAGTAATACCGTCCTGGAGGCTACGGTTTTTCAAGTCAACTAATAAATTAAAATGTGTAAGAAAACCCGCACCTAAAATAAGCTGGCGAACATCCGCAATAAGAAAAATCCAAGCGTACTCACGTCGTAATCCCAAATTAAGTGTCAGCGAACGTTGTCCAAACGTACGTATTTTCGTACCGTTTTCAGCAGTAAGTTCATAAAAATTCCCAGGAGGAGAGTGTCGGTGGGTTGCGTGGGAATAACACTAACGTCTGCTCCAGTGTCAATCAAAAATTTTAGTCCAGAAGTACGATCCACAACAGAAAGACGGCGAGATTGGGTTTGATAGCCATGAGTGTTACTCGCCCCTAACACTCGGCTTGGCGGTTTTCCGGCATCTGCGGAGCAGTGTTTTTGGAGTTTCTGAACAAACAGGGGAAAACACATTTCCTTGCTCTATGACCAAATTTGTTGTGGTACCAGCAGTAGTTGTCAGACTGTCTGTTGTTAGAATTCGATCGGTAAGTTCTGCTGTTTGATCGTCGACGTGAAAAACATCAAAATTGGCGAGAGTGTGAAGCTCTAAGTTCAGCGATTTGTTCGGAAAGCAGCTTAATCTGGTCGGCAATGGACGGTGTTTCCGTCGCTGAGTTGATCGAAGACAAAGAAGTTGAATTTGGTTGAACTTCTAAAATTCGATCAGCCATAGTCGCCAGTTTGTCGATGGGGACGGTGTCAATCGACGGTGCTAGGATTGTTTGTACATGTGAAGGGAGGCGCTTCAAAAACAGTTGGATGAAAAGAGCGGAATCAAGCTGGCGATCTCCCAAAGTGTTATACATTCGGCGAAGTAACTGTGATGGTGTACATTCACCAAGATCAGCACCGTTGAGGAGTTGTTCCAGACGCTTATATTCTGATATCGTTGTCCGTTTGATGATAGTGTCGCGCAAAGTGTTGAAAGGGGTGACTTGATCTGGGGCTTGTAACACATCACGAACATCCGCAGCAACTTCAGGTGGAAGCACAGAAAGCACATGATAAAACATGGTTGGCTGTTGCGTGATATTCCGGAGATGGAATTGTGCTTCGACCTGACAGAACCAGATTGCTGGATCATGATGCCAAAACGGTGGGAGGTTGACTGAAACAGTGTCAATTCTGTGCATTGGTTGATGTGATACAGAGGACATCAAATAGCTGTCTTCGGAGGCCGTTTTAGGTCACGTCGGGGTCACCAAAATTGTTGGGGTTTTATAGGAAAATACGGTTGCGTATTATTACGTAATTAACGACCCAACAAATAATAGCGAAAACTCCGAGATTAGGTAGGAAAATAGATTGTCAAAAGTGACAATAGGTTGACACAATTTAACAAAGTATCACGGTAGGGCACAAGGCGCTGTTCAATCGTATAGCATGTAGTCAGCCCCGTTGACGTACACCGGCCGTGGTGCACGTG